TAGAAACATGCCAGCTCTTTCTGTGTGGAAGTAGTGGCATATTTTGCAAAGCTCTCTGCTGCTCAGTGGCAGAACCAAAACAGCGTGTGCTTATACCCCAAAATCATAGAGTATCTCATTAAGTCATGTCACATTAAGTTTCTTTCCCTCACATATTTCAGCTTACATAGCATATTCAAGCTTATTGAAAAGATTAACCAGGAACAGCAAGAGTCAGGACAGGCGAGGCTGAGCCAGGCCTTTGTGGATGCCATAGATGTGGAAGCCCAGGCTACCACTGGATGTATTTCACTGCTGCAGGAGGAGTGATGCTGAAATTCCTGAAAGCAGCCAAAGAAATTGGCTCTCAAGTGCCATAAAATTCCAGGGGCACCACTTGTGACCACAGTCAGTCTGAGGTATTTAGTTGAAGAATGATTAATCACAGATGAATCAGCCTTTTGTTTCTTTTCTGACATTTCAGAACCCTTTCTAGTATTCCATCTATCTGAAGTCTGGCCATGCCTTGATACCAAAGGAGACTGTTTGAAATAATTCCATTTATTTTGGCCTGCATACAAGTCTGGATAAAGATTTCAGTCAAAACACCTCTTCGCGTCATAGAAGGGTCTTAAACTGGTGCACAGAGATAACACAGCAAGAAGACATTAAATATTACCCACTTCAAAGTACACTGATGGTTATTTACAGGCTTAGCAGAGCTGCTTCAGGGAAAACAGACCATTGACCAAAACAAAAAACAATACATGCCCCAACTGCAGTATTCCCATGCAAATATTGACATTGAAAAAGCCTCAGAAAACCCAGAAGCAAGAAAACATGTGGAAAATTTCACCACCAACCCCTTCCCAATGCAAGAACAGAGGAGAGCTTGATTTAAGGGGAGCAGAGGTCTAAATGGCAAACACTGGGCAGCTAATACATTATTTATACCAGAAGCACAATCTCAAATTTAATGTCATCCACTTAAAGACTCAAAATTAGTATCAAAGAATTGTAATGGAAAGAACAGAAAGGATCTCAAGGAGCTCAGTAGTGACTGGAAAATGTGAATTTAGTAGCATAGACCCATGAAGTAACCTTTTTCACTTGGATAAATACAGGGTCATACAGAGAAAAGAATCCCAAGATCCTCTCAAGTATCTCTCTAACATGGCTGCTTGTAGAGGTGGTTATTTCTGTAATTCTATAGCTATGCTTGTAAACAAATGTCTCTAATGAAAAAGCATTAACAAGTACAGATACAGTACCTAAACACATGAGAAGCAAGACTGAGACCAACACCATCCAAAAGTAAAACACTTCCTTATACTAAAAATTTTATCACAGGCTCCAAAAAGCATTAGGAAAAAGACTTTGCATCTTATGAGCCCTGGAACATTTTCCAGGAGACTGTTTTCCAACATAAGAACTACCACATCTAACAGAGCCTGAAATGTTTTACCACAAGGTCATTAATTTCTTCAGAGAACCATTTTAATCTTGCGTTACCCCAACGTACCCAGAAAAAAAATAAAAATGGAACAAAGCCATTGCTTAAGATTTCTCAGAGCATTTTTCCATGTTAATATAGCTACTAGGGCTACAGAAACCCTTTCATCTCAATTTAATGTAGATTTTTTTTCACCAGTTCAGAAATACTAACCCATAGATGGGAACAATCTAAGGGAAGCTGGGAATTTAAAAAATATCCTATTATTGCAATATATCCCTTTCCTCTATCCCAAGTAATTTTACTGGGACTCCACTGTTCTAAAATCACACTCCAATCAAATGCAAGCTGTTTGGGAATGAAAGGAAAGGGCACAGAGAGTCAAAAGGGAGCTTTGTTTTTAAAAATGGCTGTAATTATGTCTGATCCTCATTAACCACTGACTTTCTGCCTGTTAATCCAGAATTTTTCAACGCTATCACAGAGCCACAGAAGTCCTGACTTGGAGATCCTCTTCTGGGCCACCAATCTTCAACTAGACTGCACACTATTTATGTCCAAAATGGCACCATTTGTGGAAACAGAATACTTCAGATGAAAAGGTCCAAGGAACATATTCTCTGCCAGTGCAGCCCAAGCTGCTCAGTGGTGGCTAAAAACATCCAGCCAGTTCAGAAGGTATCTGCTCAAAGACACATTCTCAGGTAGAGATACAGGCACCATTTTAAGAAGAGCTGTATGAAATGCAGGACAAGCATATTAGCAGCCTTATTAAAAATGGATATTACAACAAAATAGTCTATCAATGCCTTGGACCTCCTTAGAGCATTCAACGTGACCAGGATGATCTGATGCAGAAGAGAGAACCTGGTTCAGTCACCAGTACACATGGTCATCTACTACCAGTGCTTTAAAAACTTATATTTGACTATTACTTTAGATCCACAAGCAAGTCAGAATCCAGAAGAAATCCTGTGAGTTCACTGTAAATAAGTATAGCATGTATGGGTTCTTTTTAAGACACTGCTCATATCAAGTGAACCTGTGCTTAGCCTCCATTTCTAAACATCCTAGGACAAGTAATTTGCAAAGAAAATTACAAGCAGAGGATAAAAACCAATGGTTAGCTCTTCAGCTCCTTCCTTTCCTGCATTTAATTTGCTTACCTGACATCAGCTTAGCAGCAGTTACCTACAGCCTGTCATTATTCCACACTAATATCATTAAAGGAGCCTCTAACATCTCTACTAAATTGGAATAAAGCAACATCTTCAACATGTAATGCCTCTAAGTCAACCAGGCATTACTGCAATTACTTAATCTGCAAAATCAGTTCTTACCCACCCTACTTTACCACTACCAATCACTTCACAAGAGTAGCAGCATTATCCAGACACATTTCAAAGCTTAGTTTCAAAATTTGTTTCCTGTGCACTATTTCAGAGAGGGTAAAGTGGAGCTACAGAATTAACGTCAACCTGATTTTCAATTACATTTGGCCACTTCTAAAGCAAATATACACAGGAAAGGAAATACAAAATAAAATACCCTTGCAATTAATTTATTAAATTACTCCTCTCCCAACACAGAGCATTACTTACCTACTACTGTGTGTGTTCTAAATATTTATATACAAACTTTCTTCTCCTCCCCACCCCCTGCCTCAGTAACTCTCATACATGGGCCACACTTAACCACCCAAGCACATTGAGATGTAGAGGTTTCTGGAAGAGTAAAGTGTATATTCTACCAAATCATAGTCATATCAGAAAGTTATTAAGCCTAAGCAAGGAAAGAAACCAAGCTTTTGCAGGGTAAAAAAAAAAGTAATTATAATAATCTCACTACAGTTTATTCCATTCCTATTCTTTGAGAATGAAAACTAGAAGCATTATGAGAAACTTATATTCTTGATCACAGATTTTTCAAATGACAGCACAGGCCCAACAGAAGTGATAACATGTTATAATAAAAAATACAAGTGGATAGTGGCTACAGAGGTTAGCTCCCACTTTTACAGCATTTAATCTTCATATCTTGATAGTTTGCTGGCTACTTTGATACATTGGCTCGTTTAGAAGCTTTGTTCAATCCATGTATACAAAGCTCACATTTTATTTAAAACTTACAACCAGTAGATGAACCCAGAGTTTCTTAACAATGATTTCTTTCAGAACAGGAATACTTTTTGACATTATAATCAGATTTGTTTCTTAAGTGCCCTAGTAAACTAAATGCATTATTTTTACAAGTCTTGAAGTACATAGATTGTAGAACAGACAAAGGACATTAAATTGCAGTGTCTCAATATGAGCAAATCATCCCAAAGTTTTACATATTTCCAAAGAGCAGAGCACATAATCAGAGCCTATGGCTCAAGCTGGTGATGGGATAGCCTTTATTTAGATAATACAGTTTTTTCCAACTCACTCACTTGCTTCCCTCAAACATAATATTCTCTTTGTTTGGTCAGCAGAGGCAGGTGATAAACTGAAGTTGGCAAAGAGGGGGGAGAGGTGTGGGGAAAAGGACAGACAAACACCTAACAAAAGGATGTTTTATATTTTCTTGCATATTTTGTTATATTTTTTCAGAAGACTGACTTGTCATGGTCACTTGAAGTGTAGGCCACCACAAATCTGAAATGTTTTTTCCATCACAACCATCACTCCCAACGAGCCTCACAATTTTTGGTATTCGAAAACTGGCCAAAAACACTGCAGATTTTTAGCCCACTTTGAGGGGAAAAAAAAAAGGAAAACACTGCACCTCTTACTCTAGATTTTTATGAACTTTGTATCTATCCACAGTATTAAGAGATATATTTGGTTATGTGTAAATGTTCAGTACTCTGAAATGGTACCATCATGTTCAAAAAGCGACGAGGCATTTGCAAAGAAAAGACACCATATTAATGAGATCTAAAAAACAGAGAAGAGAACCCTTAGGCACTCAGGTCTGTAAACAAAGTTGAAGCTAACAAGTTACAAAGGAGGTCTGGGGATAGGTGGGTTACTTTTAATACGCTGTGGATTCTCCTGACCTTCTCCTCCAAAATCTCCTACCTGGCTTCAAGATTGCTGCTAATCAGCTTGTCGCTGGTTTCACTTGGCAGAGCAAGTCCCCTATCTCTAACAAAAAGCAAAGAGGAAAAAACCAAGTAGAGCCAAGACCACAAAGGCACCTTCTCACTGCTGACAGTCACTAAGCAGCAGCTCCACAAATACACAAACCTAAAAAAAGAGAGAATTTTAGTCTATTGGAAGATAAACTGCAAACACGAGATAGCCAGGTAACCAAATGACAAGCTATTATCTGACAGCCTTGAAAACCTCTCCATTTGAACTGCTTATAAGCCAACTTGTAATAAATACCATGTGCAGCTAAATTAAAAAAAAAACCCACAACAATCCTAAGCCAAGTTAAATAGTAACCAACATTAGAATTTAACCATGTAAGGTCTACATTGAAATCCAAAATGACAATTACAAAATATTATATTACTATGAACACTGTCAAATGCTTTGGATAATAGTACACTAAGGAAATAAGTAAAAACACACTTTACCTTGTATCTCATTTTGGGGCATGAATGAATGTAGAAACCCATATAATAAAAAGAGAGATCAGGAGCTTTTTCATGAAGTTGCCTGGTGAAAGCAATTTCCCTGCAAAAGGAAAGAAGAGACTAATTACTTTTGAATACAATTTTTACATTCATTTTACTTCTTCATATTGAAATATTTTACAGCTACCTGGCTTGTGGCCTACTTAAAGGACTAGGCTTCCATCAAATAAAAAATTAATGCTTAAAAAACTCAAAGATAATAAACTGAAAATTAAGGCTTAAAACCCAAACAAGTCACTGCAATGCAAAATACCATGTCATGCTTTAAAATACTTTAATTTTTGTGTTTTGTCCCACCGATGGATTGACCTGAAATTCAAATAAAGTGACCAATAACCTCTATTTAACAGCTTTCTTGTTAATATTAATTTACATTGGAATTCTGCAGAGATCTGGCCCAGCTGTTGCACACAGCCTGGCTAACAGGGCTCTGGAATAATCACACTATATTTTAAAAATCAAGATTCAAGGCTTGTGTTTGTTCTCTTATTTGCATCCTAGCAATTTGTATGTAAAAATATCCATCTTTCTGCAACAAAAGGTATTTTTCACCTACCCCATGTTTGTTTGTTGGATTTTCTCATTTATTTTGAAAGAGATGCATCAATGAATTGCAAAATAACCTTGCTTTTTATTTTACTGGCATGAGGAAAATAGTATTCTTACAAAGATTCTGCTAGTGTTTCCAATATAATGTTCATTTTCACAGCATTTGTAACTGTCCAGTTCACATTGGTATCAATTTGATAAAATATGGATGTTGGTTCCTACTTTCAATGTCAAAGGGACAGAGGATATGAGCCTGTGAATGTAGCAAAGCATGTACTTCCAAAAACCTCTAAAGATGGACTTCATAAGTATAATCCTTAAGACATGGCATAAAAAAACCTTACATAAAAAGCCATGCAGATTATTCTAATTAAACAAATACCTTTCTGCAACTCAAAAAAGCTGGAAGACTAAAAAATACCTTTGCATTTTAAAATCCCTTAAGCACTCTTTCGACTACACTGTTTGATTTAATAACACGACGAGACTCAAAGGGGAGTAAACAGACCATAATGTAATGAGGTAAAAACTGGGCTGCAGCAGCAGGCTGACCATGGGTAAGGAGGCTTGGTGCCAGCAAATTAGTGCAGAGGACAGCCAAGCTAGCTTGCTCAGAACTTCTGCCATGTCTTCACATGTCCCAGTCTCCAGCCATACACCCCACATACACACCCTCAACTCAAGGTCTTGCTCTATCTTCCATTTATCTATTTGTCCAACCCCACTCCAGGCAAGGTTTTACTGGGGGATGCTAAAGCATCCTTCTCTTTCCTCCATCCAGGAGTAATGCTGTGATCCAACACAAAAGAATCCTCTGACCCCATCATTTGAAAGCAGGAGCAGCAATCAGGTGTCAGTGCAATGCATAGCTCCCATCTAGCTGCCTGAATCCCTATGGAAAAGGGACCACATGCTTGCAATTATTTTTCTGTAAAGCCTTCAGGTATGGTGCAAATCTGAAGAGTTACAATGTTGGTGCTTGGCAAGAGCAGGCAGCTAGCAAGGAACACATCTACTGATTTCATCAATATAACATTCAGACTGTTTCAGTGCTAAGAAACCCAATCTCAAGAGTTCTTGCCCTCCTTACAGAACAGATGATGAATTCTGTGCTTGCCTACCATTTGTGATTTTAGGTAGCAGGGGGAAGGTATAACTTTTTCCTGCAAATAATCACTCACTATTTCTTGATGATTTTATTTTCCTTTGGTAAAACTAGTATTTCACAGGTAGCTGCTTCTCCCCTCATCCTTTACTTCCAATCCTTCATATTTCAAATGATCTTCAAATCCCAGCCTTTCTACGACTCAGCAGCAAAAATTCTCCAAGTAGCATGAAGTGGAAGTGACAGCACTGCAATGCAGTTCAACCTCCTTGGAGTAAAATTGGCAACAGCTTTGAAGGGATCAGATTCCTTTGCAACTTCCTAAACCCTCCCTAACTCTCAAGTTGTGTTTTTTTTCCTCCCTTTTGAAAGAACACAACGGTTGGCTCCCTCTAACACTGTTGGGGACTCATTTTTATTGCCTTAAATACTGCAGGATTTATAAGCTGCTTTTTCACTAGCTGAGCCACGCACGCATGTTGCACCCACCGAGTTTTAAATGTATGATGTAGAAAACTTCAAATCGTTTCAAGAATTCATGGATTATGTCAGTCTGTTGTTACACAAAGTACTGTGATATGTACAAATACTAGAAACCAACTCGTTGGGGAACTTAGTATTTTATGTTACTTGCTCACCTTGCATGGAAAAAAAAGTCTAATTTCAAGTCTCTAGCATAGGTAATAAAATGCTTCTAAAAATCTAGACCACTAATAGACAGAAAAAAAGATCAATTCTAAACCACAGGAGTTCCAACATTTTTTTTACATCTGATAATTCTGATTAATTCTATAAAATCACCAGTGCCACTGGATGCCTCAGGAAAATGACAATTCAGGGTCTTTTGGACATAGACCACTGGAGATGCCTCAGCAGTACCTCAGAAAGTGTACTGCAATTCTCAGCAGGCAAAGACCCTTTGCTAGAACTTTTCAGACTCAGAGAAGACTGAAAACAAACACGTCTGGCAGGAGCTTCAACCCAGTTGCTTCGTGAGAACCTCCCTGGGAACACCACATGTCTGTGACCAACTTTCTTCACGTAAACAGAGAAACAAAAAAGCTAAGAAAAAAACTGAGATGCACAAATATTTCCACTCCTTCAGTGTTTGTTTTTATTCCCCTTATAAAAATAATGGAATCATGAAATCGCTGATGGAAGAAAACCAGCAACATGCAATTTAGCATACAAGTTTTACCCACAGTGAAAAGCATTATTCACTATCACTGCTGTTTTGCAAGACCACATTGATAGTTAATTTAAAGCTTTTAAAATTCACAGACTTACTCTCTCCATCAGGCTTTCTAAAAGACATAGATAATGAGATTAACATACTTGAATACTTACTGCTAGTACAGCAGAAGACTACTAATTCAGAAGACAATGGTTTTTAGGTACTGCATTATTTATGATCTCAATGTGTATAAAACCATAAAAGTGATTAATTTCATTTGGTGACTTGGCTAAGAAAAAGGTCAAAGGAAGAATTATTTCCATTTAAACAAAGAAGGAGCTTTTCCTG